AGAGTGAAATATGTGAGAGGGTGACAGAGACATATACACTGAAAACATGTGTAAAATGATGTTATGGCATGCAACCATCTCATGCACAACATGTTAGGGGCCTTAAAGCACAAAGCTAGTGAAGGCATTTGCACTATAGCCATGCAATACAAAGCTCACAAGGGACAAACACCTTAAAACAGTCCTAGAATAGTTTAAAAGGAGCCCTAAAACATGCTTGAAGTAAGCTAAAAAAGGCTAGAATGAAAGGCTAACACATAGCACAAACTAGACTATCAAGCACCATTGCACTACAAGCATACAAAGCAAGCCTCAAGTGGCCAAACTAGCTCAAAACAGAGCTAAACAAGGTCAAAAAAGTAGCAAAAACAGCTGAAATCAAGTCATAAAATGATAGAAAAAACATGCTCACATATTAGGCTATCTACACTTACAAGCAAGACACAAGGAGGGCACGCCAACCCCTCCTATTTTGGACCTCAAAACATGGTTTTTGCCACTAAAAATTCTCTGATTTTCAGTGGTTAGAAAGGCCAAAAAGTTTGATTTAAAATAACTTTGAAAGATGGCACAACAACTTAGCAAGCAAGCTACAAGAAGGGTGGACCACCCCTAACTCCAGAAAGGGCTTAAACCACCATTTTTAACCCTTAAAAATAGAGGTTTTTGTAGTTGAAAACCAGGCCAAAAACAGTTTGCAAAGGTGGCAGAACAAGTGAGCAAAACAAGCTTAAAGGGAGAGAGTTATACCTCTTGAAACACAACACAATTTTAGGCAACAAAACCAAGCAAAATCACTTTCAAGAGCTCCAAGAAGACCTTCTAGAACCTCAGCTCCAAGATAACCCAACTTTGGTCAAGGATGTATAGGCCAAGGAGATGTGTATCTACAATTGTATGCACTTATGCACAAAGGTTCAAAAGAGAGAGAAATGTAGAGAGAGAATTGTAGAGAAAGAGGCTCCCAAAATTTTCGAGAGAGGCTCCCAAAATTTTCTTCCTTAAATGTTCTAACCTTGAAAACCATAGAGAAGGCTCTCTATATATAGAAGAATGCAAGCTCCGGTCGAAAATATCCCAAAAGGGACAACTGGAACACAAATATCTGCCAAAATCTGACTTTTTTCATCAATGGCCGGCAAGAGATCATTGATGGCCGGCACATGTCCATTGTTGGCCAAAAAAGAACACTCTTGGATGGAAGGGGGCTTGCATAGGCCATTCATGGCCGGCACATGGCCAAAAAAGCCCATTCATGGCCAGAAACTTCCACCTTTGGTTGGCTAGAAAAATCTACTTTTTGGGCCCAACTTCAAATGGGAATATATCCTTCATCTAGAGTCATTTGTAAGTCATTCTTGAGCCTAAATTGAATCCCTGGAAGTCTTCTTCCAATGGTGGCAGCCTCACATCAAAATTCCAACTGTGCAAAAAATTATGCTCATTTTAGTGAAAACTACTCAGTTTCAATCCTACCCGAATTCATGCTCAACTTCTCCTCAACTAGTTTTCTTCTCTCCTTTCCCATTTTGTTCAACTCCAAACCCCTAAATAAGGTGTTTTGAAGATTTTTTTCAAAGATTTTACCTCTCTTCCATTGATTTCCACTTTGTCCTTGCTCAGTTTACCGAAAAACGCAACATTTAACAAAATGCGAGCTTTGGAACATCGTAGAAACTTTTTTTTTCAAAAATGTTTTGAAAGAGAGGGTTGTAAGGTTTAAAATCTTTTTGGTCAAAATAGTTTTGGTCCAAAATGGGGTGTAAGGTTAGGATTTGAAGCTCTTCTTGCCGAAGAAATCGAACCTTTGCACTGCCCACGTTTCATCACCAAGTAAACAATCAGTGGCGCCCAAGTCTTAAAGGCGGTCAAAAATGGGGTGTCTACAACATCTTGTATAGTTAGGATCATGCATCTTTCTAACTAGTTTTTGTTTTGGCTTTGTGTACTCGGTAAGTTTTTATGCTCTAGCATACTTGCATAAGTGTGATTGCCATATTGCCATGTTTCGTATGCTTACCATGAGGCTATGTGCTTACTTGCTAAACTGCATGAATGCCTGTGGATGAAGGCTTGTTGTTTAAATTAGAATGATTCAACAAATGTATGTTTTAAGCCCACTTTGTTGTGGCAAAATCATGTTTTAAGCCCACTATGATTGGTGGCAAATCCGCAGCTTTAAGCCCACTTGAGGGTGGCAAATTCAAACCATTTTTCGAAAACAAACATGAGTTGAATTGTTCCAAATTGAGCAAACTAGTCTATACTTGCTTGTGCGCGTCACATAGTAAAGCTAGTGTAATAACCAAAATAAAAACACATAATGTTTATAAAAACATCATGTCATGATTAGTAAAGGCCGATCTTTGATTGGGCGAATGAGGGTGCTTATTTCAGGACCTTCCCCTCTTATACCCAAGTTCCTGAGCCAAGGCAACTTTTGTGATGATGGACACGTGGCCTTTGGCACCAGTCAAGTTTTTTTAAATTTTTCCAAAATAAAATATTTAGGTGGCGACTCTGTATATGGCAAAACAAAGCAGTCCAATTTTGACACTTTTTGATTCAAAATCAATTTTCCAAAATGATTTTCCAGATTTAGACCCTTTGGTGATTATCAGTTTCATATTGCACTTGTGAAACTAGATTCAGAACCGCGAGAGTCCAAACTGTGAGGCCTTTCTTTTCAAACCCCTTTCCGAAAGGCGGGACACGAAAAAAGGCGAGTCCACATTTTGAAGTTTGGGAGTTTGGCATAATTTAATATTTTGTTGTAGTTTAGTATATGTGTGTGAGAGAGAAAGTGATTGATTGATGTGTAAGACAGAGAAAGTGATTTTGAAATTTTTTTTCAAAAAATTTAAACCAAACAAAATTTTCAAAAAATTTCTCAAAAATTGTATTTTGAGATGCAAACCAAATAAGCCCAATAGCTCTACAACTAAAAGTAGATCTAGCGTTTAAAGAAAGTGAATCAAATCAAAGCCAAGCCTGAGGGAAGTTTGCAAGCAAGGAAATCTTTTCTTTTCTTGCCTTTTTCTTGCTCTTCAATTTATTTCAAACTAGCAAGTATGTTCTTGTTTTTCTCTGATTTCAGAATATTTTAGTCATGTTTTACATAGATGATCATGGTTAGGGTGTTGGTTTAATACAAAGCTTCATATAGGTTAGTAGTTCGGCATGTTTTTTTAGTGTTTTGCATGTTCTAGTTAGATGCATATTTGTTGCCTATTAGGGTTAGTTTAATCATGACATAAACATAGATATAACCCAGTTTAATCATCATATATTCAGCATGTTTAAATTTGTTCGGTATTAGCCCATCATTAGGGATCCATGAAACATCTACGGGTCTAGGTTTTATCAGTCGAACCAAATCGCGGTGTCTATATCTAGTTTTCAAAGAAAACTGCCAATTTGGCCTTTGTTTACCCGATTGATGATGCAATTGGTTCTTGCAAAGGAGTCAGAGTAAGCTTCACTTGGGGTCAACTTAGATTGATTAGTTTTTGCAGAAGTAAGGGCTGCTGAAGAGTTCTTGGTTCCTTGTACATGAGGAGGAGATAAAGTACTTTGAGTTTTTCCTTGTTATTCGAAGGGGGCGACAGGAGATCTTGGACTATAATGTCCATTGGTTTCTCAGGTTTCTTCCACAGTTGCATCAACTTTGGTCCTAGTGTCTTTCAGGTTCCGAGTCCGTTGATTTGTTAGGACTGGAGGATGCACTCATTGCTAGCTTCTTCTTCTTCTTCTTCTGGTTTGGGAAGTCACTCTTTGGACATGTACTTGGTTTATGGCAAGAAAATTTGCATCTTCTACCACCAGGACTTTGTCTGCTCATGGGGATAGGATTAAGGGATGCTGGGTTTGAATTTTTTGGCTGAGATCCAGAGGTGGTTTTCTTGGGATCTTTACCTTTGTCTTCTGCTTCCTCCAGTACAAATGGTTACTGTGGAGGAAGACAAGTGAGAAACAAAGGAAATTTAAGGAGTTGGTTCTTGATTTGATTAGAGATATACCTCGGCTAAAGATGATGGATCATCTTTCTTTATCTTTGCTTGCCTTAATCTTTTAGTCCGGTTTGGGTTTTCTTCCTTCCCTACCCTTAGGGGTTTTTCGAGAAGAGATTGTGCAACTGTAAGAGAAATGTGGTAGGATTAGTGTTAATAATGGAGTAATTTGGGAATGAATATAGGCTATTAGGGTCTGGAGGAGTGACCATGGTTACTACTACTGTTTTGATGGGAAGGTATCAACTTTAACATGGGTACCTCTTTTCTCTGGAGAAATTAATTCATCTAGAGGATCTTCTTTTCACAATGTGTCTACTAAGGTGATGAGGTATTTGGTTATGGGGGAAGTTTCTTTCCATAAGGTTAGAAGACGGTTCCTATACGGTTCCTATTAGAGAGACTCTTTCACGAAGACGGAAGTAAACTTTCCCCCCTGCAATGTTGGCTTTTTTCTGTTGTCTTCGGAGATCTGGCCCAGTTTGTTTTGTTTCGCTTTCTCCATAACAATTAATAAAATATTAACTCTAGTTATTGAATAAACTACATGATCTATCTAGATCACGATTGAATAAACTACGGAGAGTGTGCAAACTCTCCTACTACTATTTTTCATTTTTAAACAACAAAACATAAAAACAAAACAACTACAATTGAAGAAAAAAATGAATAAGAAGATTTTAGCTAAGACTTAATAGCTTGAAACCCACAAACAAAACAACTTAATCTTTTTATTATTATTATTATTATTTATAAGCAAATAAGACAAGCAATAGGAACATTTTTTTTTTTTATTTATCCAAAAATGAACATTTCATTCAAAATATGAAATAGAAGGCACAATGAAAAAAAATGCAGAGAGTGCAAACTCTCCTATTGACTATTTTTCATTTTTAGACAACAAAAACATAAAAATAAAGCGACCACAACTGGAGAAGATTTTAGCTTGCACCTAATAGCTTGAAACCCACAAACAACCCAACTTAATCCTTTTTTTTTTTTTTTAATCAGCAAAGAAAATATTATTTATGAAAACATGGGAGAATCCATGAGATACATCAATAATAGAAAATAGAAAGCAGGAAGACAACTTCCCTAAAACAAGCCTACTAGCTAAGCATAGCAGCTAGAGGGGAAACCAAAAAAAAAAACCAGAAAGCAGTCTGCAACAATCAAAAAAACACTGAACACTGAGTGAAAAATAGCTAACGACAATGAGGAAGGAAAGTTAACACTGAGTAATCATCTGCTGGAACTCTGGAAGTGCACTTTCAAACCAACCTCTAGGAAACCAGACAGAATCGTCAATATGCCCGTCCTCGAAACAGCAGCACCAAACGAGCAACACCTGGAATAGTTCAATAGCAAAATACCATAGCATCCACAAAGACCACTAAAAGCGCCAAAGAAGAGATAGGAACATAAAGGCAATCAACAACATCTTTTTGGAATGCAAAGGTGGCCAGTCATGTGCCAACTTTCACCTCCATCGCTATGTGCATAAGGGCAAGATGGAGTGAAGGCTTTGTTTAAAAGCATGTTCCATGCTGCACTCGGGTCCTGAGTTGAGAACATGGTCCAAGTAGCAGTGGAATTCTCATATCTACTATGTGTGATGCGATTGAACTTCTTCACATTCTTGTTCTTATTTATGTTATCCGGGTCAATGTCGAAAGTGAAGATATCTCCATAAGGCCTCACAGAGTGCAGGAAGAGAGGTAAAGATACGGGATCAGCAGACACGGCAGCAAGATCTGCAGTCACAACAATGCTCTTTCCATCCGGGCTGAAGAATGGATGGTTCACATGCCCTGCAACGTCACTTCCACTTGCCATCACTCTTACTACCACTGACGGATCATTCACCTTCACTAGAAACACCGCAAAGTATCCTGGGTCAAGACCATTGTCCTTCTCTGGTGTACCTTCAGGCTTGTCGCGGGTTGACGAGAATACTATCCAATCTCCTCTTGGGGACCATTGGCAATGTGTGTCAGTCCAAGGCCCATTTGTTAGCCTTGTTATTTCACCTCCTCCATATTCCCCTGATTGTGCGTTCTCCATTACGTACAGATTCTTGTGTTTTTCATCCCCTCCATCTCTTGTAGATCGAAAAACTAATTTCGTCCCTGTTACAATTTTCAACCCATCCATCAGCACAAATTAAAACTGGAAACTATAATATTATAATAAAGGGTCTTTTTGTTATTCAAAAGCATATATATTGACATTGGAAAAGGCTATAATATTATAATTAGTTGCTGACTTCCTAATCGGTTGCCCAAGGATTGGTGAAAAAATGTAGGATTTCTTTCTTATGTATTGACCTTGAAATGGCACACATCATTAAGTTATCAAAATAGTTAAATTACTTTCAATGGATAAATTGAGCCCACCAATTAATTCTTGAACTAAAATATTATCTCGGCGAGGAGCCATGCCAATATATACTATTCTATTATAATTGGGTATTTGGAAAGGAATTCGAAAGAACAAGTAGGAAGTTACCGTCTGGATTGGTGGATGGGAAGGCATTATTGGAACCTTTTGTGAGTTGTACACGACGATGTGCACCACTGGACACGTCAGGTATAGCGCAGATGTTTAGTGTTTCTTTAGACTGGAAAGAAGGTCCCATGTTAACATACAATATATCCTTTTCTGGATTTTGGCTCCAAACTGGTGAGAAGACGTTGTCTGGGCCTTTTGTCTACATAAACAAAACTAATCATCAACTATCAATCAAAGATAAACACAATTGCAAGATAAACACAATTGCGCATTATAGTAATATTATTCTTGTACTTATGTACCTGGTAAACAATACGCATCCCTTTGCTATCAGCTACCCACACGGCCTTGAACTCATTGTCCACAAATGCAAGCTTGGAGCCGTCTTTGGAAAATGTTGGAAAGATTCCTGGCACCCTAAACAGTCCTACCTCCGGATGCGGGGAATCGAGCTTGTGGGTATTTCTTTGGATATCTTCTCCACTCTGTCACAAAGTAACAATTGTACGTATGTATTAGGTTAGCTCTTAAGTTAATTAAACATGGCTGGCTAGAAAAGGTATTCAAAGGTGGAATTAGTTTGAAAAGTGGTTAATCGGTGTGTACCTTGAGACGGTCGCTCGTGCATCGATGGTAACCAATGCGCTTCCCACCATCTATCACAAAGGGGTTGAAATGGTCAGCCTTTGGCATGGTATTTTGAGTGATTCGTATGTTCTGTTGCTGTCCAGTTGAATCAAAAATCTCAATGTGCCGATACTGTGCTTCTACACGGACGACTTCCAGGAACTCTGATTTCTGACGAATAGTTGCCACTGCCACTGTGGTGGCGTTGATGGCTGCTGGAGTCATCGCCTTAATTCCGTCCGGGGTCACACGAGATTCCATACCGTTGCTGAGGTCGGCACGGAACACACCCCAAAATTCCCCTTCCTTGCGGTGGAAAAATATGACATTGTCACTTCCCCACGTCGGCCACCCACCATTCGTTACAACCTTCTTGCGGTTGTTTTTTTTTTTTTTTTTTAATAGGTCAAAAGTCATATTGATGAAACAGGAAACGTACAAACTATAAAATCCAATGGCACAGCTGGAAAACTAAAGAAGCATCAAGGCTACCTCACTCACACAATGCTCAATAGAATCAAGCAAAAAGGAGCTCCGAAGCAGTTGGCAAGGAGCCAACTGCAGAAACTATGAAACAGCTACAACTAAACACTAATAACTTCAACAAAAAAATCTAAAACCGCGAACCCGAAAAGAAAAGAAGCCTACTTGGAATCAAGCCTAGAAACTTCCAATGTCCAAAAGGCCCTAGCAAGGCGCTAGTCAGTTTACAACACCGAAATTCAAAAACTCCACCAAGAAAAATCTGCTAAGAAACACATGGGCTCCAGAATAAGAGACACCAAGCTTACTGGGACCTTTAAAGAAACACCTTTGCGTGCATCCATCTAAAAGCTTGAGAAGAAATCGATTCAGCTATTATAAATGGATCTTTCTTTGGAACAGAGCAACCTCAACTCAAATCACCACACTTGTCACAAAAAATGAATCACTCACAAAAAGACTTACAACAACAGCTAGAACTAAATATTAATAACTTCAACCAAAAAAAAAAACACTAGGAGCAACTAAGGAAGGAAAGAAGGAAGGAATTATGGGTGGGTAGTAGTAAAAGAATGAATGACGAAAGGAACCTTACCTGATAGGGTGAGGCGGTCGGTTTTGCCGGTCTTAAGATTGGTTTTATAGACGGCAGTCCAGGGCTGACGACGATCAGGGGCGGGGTCCTTTGTGGTAACATAGACGAGATTATCACCGGCAATGCAACCACTGTCTTCCATGCGAGCACCACCGAAATTGGCTTTGCCGAAAACATCAGCCAAACAGAAGACTTTGACTTTGGGTGGGTTGTCATTGAAGCGGAGAGCTATGTGAAGCAATTCGAGGCCTTCTTGTCGTTCGGAGACGAAAACCATGCCCGTGAGACGACCTGAATTTACATCGGCCTCTTTGCCTTCGGAAGCCAATTTTTCGCGCTTGAGAATTGTCTTGAGAGCCGCCGATGAAATTTCTTGGCCGTTGTAATTGTAGTTCACTCCGTCAGTCATGGGAAGCTCATCTTGCTTCGATGTTGTTTGAAGCGGGCACGAGAATATGTCCAGCGGCACCGGTGGTCGGTAGGTTGCGGAAAAGGCAATGCTACCTCTCTTCTCTGCCATCTTCTTCTACGATTTCAATCTTCCTTCTTTTCTTTCGCTCTAAGAGTAAAGTCAGCAAAAGCTCCAGCAAATCGGGGTATTTATTAAGGGCCTGGAGATGTCAGAAATGGTGGGCAGTCCGTCCTCCGCTCCCCCATCTACTCACTATTTATGTTTTCAAACCCTACAGCTTAGACCATCTCCAACGGTGAATCAAACCCAGCATCACATTTAAATTTTGATGAAAAAATCACTTTTTCACGTTCCAACGGTTGCACCAAAGTGATACCAAAATGAGAATTCAGCAAAGAAGACATCAAACTGAGATCAAGACACAGATTTTACCAAATCACTGTTACTGACCGTTGAAAATGCTACACCGGTCGACCAACCGGTTGCCCGGCCGGTTGACCAACCGGTCAACCAGTATTATAAAAAAAAATGTGTAAAAAAATAAAAAAAAAATATTAATTGATGTGATTTAAAAAAGATAAAAAGATAAAAAATGTGGACTTATAGTCTTTTCACACTTGACCTTATTTTTGGAAAGGCCATTGCTATATAAATTTAAAATTTTAATTTATTTTTAAATTTAAAGATATGATATTTAGGCTAGGTTTGATATTTTTTAAAAAAATTAAAAATTCTGTATCTTATTTAAATCACATCATCTTATTTAAGTCACATCATTTCTTTACCACATCACTTCAAATTTAACCTATGTTTCATAAAAAGTCAAAATTACTTCGAAGCCAACTTATGTTTCATAACAGTTAAAAAAGTACACTTATTTAGAATATCTCAAACAATCCCTTAAAGTAATATTCTCTCTTCTATCTTCTTAATCATCAATCAATAATATTACTTACAGATCATTAAATTTATATAATAAATTTATAAAGTGGATCAATATATCATTTTTCATTTAAAACATGATGCATTGAAAATATATTAGTATATGTTAATAAAAATTAACATTTCCCTTGCACCTAGATGATTTACTATAAGACCATCTCCAACGATGAACCAAACCCAGCATCAAATTTAAATTTTGATGAAAAACCCACTTTTTCACGCTCCAACGGTTGCACCAAAGTCATACCAAAATGAGAATTCAGCAAACAAGACATCAAACTGAGATCAAGACACAGATTTTATCAAATCACTGTTACTGACCGTTGAAAGTGGTACACCGGTCAACCAACCGATTGCCCGGTCGGTTGACCAACCGGTCGCCCAGTTTCCTTTAAATTAGGTAGGTTCAAACAGGTAAAAAAAGGTTCAAACAGAAAAAAAAAAAAAAAAAAAAAAAATTTGCCTACCCGGTCGACCGGCCTGTCACCCACCTGCAAACAAAACAGCGTATGGATTCTGAGTCTTTGGATGAATTGGGAAGGATGAAGACAAAACAGCGGAATTTCCATATTCCCACCTGAAGAGTCACCCACCTGCAAACAAAACAATTGATGAATTTCCATAATCCCACAAATTTGTAAATTATGTCCACAAGAGTCACCCACCTGCAAGCAAAAAAAAAATATATATATATATATATTTATAGTTATTGGTCGACCAACCAGTCGACCCATAAGATTTGATACAGAATTTGATGAACCGTTGGAGCATGAAGTATCAAATTGAGGAAATGATTATTTTTTTACTCAAATTTGATGAAACATTAGATGAACCGTTGGAGATGCTCTAAATTATATATTTCCCACGACAAACTAATATATTAACATTACTCTTGCACCTAGATAATCTACTAGTATAAATTATATGTTTTTTTTAATACCAAACGTCTTATCTTTTTAATTTATTTTTATTTCTCACAACCTATTAATATAGTGGCTTGGTGTTTTTTTAATTATTTTAATCTGGCAATAAAATATTTATTTGAGTTTATTTTTTTAATTTTTTTGATTTTTATAAAAAAAAATAAAATATTTATAATTTTAATATGATATTTTATTTCATTGACCTTTTAAATTTTATTTTTTTTTAAATTTTTTTTTTTTAACTTATATAACTGAAACACGGAAAAAACCCACATGCGTGATTAGCCTTTCCCTTGCACCTAAATGATTTGCTATAAATTATATAATTTTCAACAACAATGATTTGTATCATTAAAAAAAAATACTAATAGTATTAATACATTAGAAATGAAAAATAAAAATAAAAATAAATAAGACATAGGTAATAGACGGACTCACTATCACATCATTAATAATATTATTCGAGTATTACTATAGTAGCAATGTTAGGTATCATGAAAAACCTTTTATGAAAATAATCATAAAAACTTTGTGACCCTTAAATTACACTTAGAATAAAGTATCACACATTAATCAAGATAATCTAAAAATCATAAATCTTTTATTATCATTTTTATAAAAAAAAAATATATAATTCTTAACTTTTCTCTTACTTTAGTGCTCCCCATCATCACTCATTTTTTAAGGCCAAGCCTCGTACATTTTTAATTTATTTTTGGGCTTGGAGAAGTCACCTCAACTTGGCTGTGGCTGACATTACCAGATCAGTGGATTTTATGACTCTGGCTGTGCGTATAGCTTTTTTTTCAATTAATACGACTGGTAAAGTATACATATGAGTTTACATGGGTATAAAATAAATAATGATAGAAATTATGAAAAAAATATCATAAAATAAATCATGATAATTTTTCATTCTTTAATTAGTGTATAATATTTTATTATATGTATAATCTAAAGATAAAAAATCTTTTATAATTATTTTTATGACATTTTTTTCATAATCCATAACATTACTCCTTTATTCTTTATGAGCGGTATATGCGCATATTTACGTTCTCCTATGTGCGCACTATTTATTTCTTCAAACGCCACTGATCAACTTGTTTATTAACTTGTTTTTAGGTTGTGGTCAAGTATCACATGGGTGGGTGGGTTGTTTTATGGCGTGTATAACATTGTTTAAATGAATATAGTGGATGGTTGGTAGAGTTTATATATGACTTCACATTTGCATAGTTGATGAGATTATTTATTAATTTATTTTTTATGGGTTGTATATGCACTGTTGGTAGAGTGCATGTATGATTTTATAAAGAAAATTACACATGCAAGCAGATAATTAAGACAGAGAAAATTAAAAAAATCATAAAAAGAAATTAGATTTTATTGTGGTTAGAAAAAGTACAGATGTTAGAGAAAATTTAGCATAAGGAGATAACAAATTAGTAAAAATCAAACAAGTAATAGAAATTAATGGGAGTTTAATGTGGGTAGAAAAAGTTCAAATGTAAGAGAATTTGAGAGAAAATCAAGAGACAACTAGCAAGTGAAAATCAAGCAAGACACGGAGAGAAAATAAGTCTAATGTGTTCAGAGAAAATTAATCTAAAGGGGATATATTAGTGCTAGAGAAAATTCATTTCAAAGGAAAAATTACACATAAGAAGACAACTAATCAGTGAAAATCAAACAAGTAACCTAAATTAGTAACCTAATTGTGAGCAAACTTAGGATTTAGGGTTTAAGTTATGTTTAAAAATTTCTCTAGATCGAAATTTCTCTATTTCAAAATTTTTCTATAATGCTTCGAAATTTCTCTGTGAAAGTTTGAGAGACCCCAACTATTATGAAAATATTTCATATCCTTTATGTTATAAAATCTTAATATGAGAGACCTTAAAAAAATCCTCATTAATAATTACTTCTTTTTTATGCAACATATATTTATTAATTTTTATAAACTGCAATTAATATTTTGATACTCTTAAAACATTTTAGACAAAAGGTTATTTTGCATTA